CTGACATGAACTGCAAATCTTGATAGTTCCAATTGTTGACGAGGCCCATATGAGAAAAATGTAATAATCCTGGAACACATTCTGAGTTATCGATGCAGACAAAATGGGATGTCATTCATGCCTGACACCTCAACCTCAATAAAAGGAAATAAATAAATAAATAATTGTCATGCTTGACCGTTTTCATGTAGTTGCAATTCACAACAGACTGACCACCAGGCACCTAATCTTTTTAATATATAAAAGGTTCAATTAGCCAAGCTAGCTAACGAACTAATAAAAGATATATAAAGCAGGATTTAATTAAAAAACAATCAGTAGGTTAGTCATCGGTACTCGGGGGTGTAACGATTGTCGTTGTTTTTTTTTTTTTTTGTTTAATTTAATATATAAAAATAATATAATTTTTATTTTTAAAATATTATTAAAAAAATTCTTTTTAAAAAAAAATATTTGAAACATAATTTCAAATAACACCTTAGTAGGTTCCAGTTTTTCTTGTAGGATCGGTGAGGTAGAAAGGCAAGTGCCTAATTTATAAAAGAAGAAGAAGAAATAGTTATCATCATTTTAATATTAAAAATAAAAAATATTATCTTGAAATATTTTTTTAAAATTAAATTATACTTTTTATTAGTTATTTGAATTATTTTTAAATTTATCGAGCTGATTAGGTCATATAAAACCAATTTCAACATGATTTATAAATTATTTTTAAACTTATCTAATTGATTAAGTCACATGAAATTAACTTTTTATTTTTAAATTAAAACTAAAAAAAATGGATTATAAAATTTCAAGATTAATTTATTAAGTTAGATTTAATAAAAATATTAAATAATTTTTTTGACATGAACTTTTTTTTTTACTTTAGAAAAAAAAATTTCTAGCATGTAGTACTGTTGATTTGCGTGAACAAATTAAAGTCTTCTCTTCAAGTCTTTCAGTATTTCAATTTATTTTTTAATAAAAAAAGTATGAATACTCCCCTCTAATATTCTAACCTTCAAAGAAGAAAAAAAGAAAGGGATATATTAAATAACTATCAACTATCTATTCCAGTTACATGCTGCCATGGACCATGATCCATGGCACCTACCCAATGCCATCATACCTGCAATATATATACATATATATATATATATATGTCTTTCTCAAATTTGGTGAAGCTTCTAAGAACCAAGAGAAACAGTAAAATCATTCAACTTTAAAAATCTACCACACAGTGATATGAAAACAACGGTAATATAATAAACCTCAGGAAGCTTTGAACTGAAACCGCGTGGATACCACTGGCACCACCTAAAACTACACATCGAGGAGAGGTACGTTTCATTTTATTTTTTATATATATACATATATGCCTGCATTTGCAAGGGCATGTTCTAAGCACATGCAAGCAATGTAAAGAATCTTGATGAGCAGCAGTCAAAAGTTCCTCTTTTTTTCCTTTTTCTTTTTTCTAATTCTTGCAAACCCTAAACTCCTCCTTACGATAACTTTGACTAGCTAGTTAAAAGTGGACCAAAACCCATCTTGCAAGCAATCTTCGGTCTATCTCTTAATTTTTTAAGTAGCGAACAAGGTTTTTTTCTAAAAAAATGTATACAGCTATTTCAAGTGAACTTCTCGAGGAAAAATAATTAATTCACATGTAAGAAGTTCATTGAAAGAAGTTTTGCCCTCGTTAGGGCAGTTGTTCGCAAACAAAAATTCTGGGCAGGAAGTCAAAGAATTCCTGTCCCATTGTTCGTTCTTGCCAAGAATTTTCAATTTTTTACTTGTTTCCACTTCCCATAAATCTCCCCTCTTCTAAGAAATTAAAATCCCATTTACGAACCCTCCCTCATTTTGTTACTTATTCACACAATAATGTTTTTTTTCCCTCAATAATGTTGGGGAGTTTGGTCATCTAACGGGGAAGAAACACTGTGACGAACATCTTTGTTTCGAAAGCAAAAATTCTATTTTTCTCAATATTAGCTCGAATGCTTCAAATCAAGATTTAAGTATAGCTAGTCAATTTGGAGAAAGTGAATTAGTTTACTCGGAGCTTGCTGAGAACAAATTGGTACACAAGAGAGAAACTATATCAGTTTCTCATGAAATATGTTTTCAATATGTATGTAATATATAAGATTCTTTTGTAGGCTACAAGATTGTTTTATATATATAGGCTACAACCCGTGTATTATCTCGCAACAAAACAAAGCAACTTGAAGGCAAGAAATAAGATTTATAATTGATTGGTTGATAAGATTAATAAAAATGTCATTTTCGAAGATCCTATCACGCCATAGCCCTCGTCCATGATGGGATCGATCAAGATTGTAAAAAGTTATGATGATCATTATAACGGAGAGAATCTGATCCGAGTGATGATTGTTTATTCGGTTCTTTTCTCTTGGATTTTACTTCTGACATCAGAGCAAACAATATGGTCTTCAGTTTTTATTTGTTTATAACTACCCTAAGGGAGCTATCGTCGCAGTTGAACAGTCAGGCCATGGAATTAACTAATCTGGAAAAGAACAAAGACGGAAAGAAAAAGAGGAGAAGTAGGGCTGTAAAAACCAAAGGAATGCTATGAATTATAAAAGTCAAGAACTGGTGCTAGGCCCTCTTGAACGTTATTAAAAAAACCTGCATCGATTGCTTGCTCAGAAAACCTGCAATGCCATTGCAGAAAGCTGAGAGCGCAGATCGGACATTAGGGTAGAAAATAAATGGGTCAAGAAATAGTTCAGGTCTTCATGCCTAGCTAGAAGTGAAGGTCCCTTCATTATTATACACCCGCGCTGACACACATCTTGGATATTCCAATCAAAACCATGTGCTTGCTTTCTTTCTCTGGCAGCCATGTGACGGACGCAGCAATAGGCTCCACCCTTCGGTCTGCTATGCAGAATAGGGCCTTGCTCGTTTTGACTTATGGCGACTCTTATGATCTTACTGTCTTCTGTCTACACTACAATTATTCTGCGCCTAATTGTACTCAAAATGCCCCTACAATTATTGCTCCTTTTGTTTTCCTCTTTTTCTTTTTTTTTTAATTAAAAAAACCCTTCAATGAAAGGCTTGAATTACTGCACAATTTAAAAAGGAGAGTATTTTCAAAGTATTTTAACAAAAATTGAATATTTTTACTTTTTTATTTTAAATTAATTTTTTAAATTATTTTGATATAAAAATAAATTTTAAAAAATAAAATATTAATAATGACTATTTAGGGGTACTGTTGTCATCTACTAGCAGATAAATTAAATAGTTTTTTTAATTTAAAATTAAAAAAACACCTCGATGATGGTGGGATGTTCTTCATGTAAACAAAACCTAGGAAACGTTGTTGCTTTAACGTGATCGAACAATTCCCAACAAACTGGTTAGGTAGCTTAGGCACATCGCACCATTAATTATATTTGATGAATTTTAGGTCCAGCTACTAATTATACTCTCCTATGTCCTATCTAAGCTAGCTTCCTTCAGTCTAGTGTTACATGCGTATTTATGACACAACCACCTTTTGTGACCTGGAAGAAATTAATGGGTTCTTCCGCCTACATAAATTATTAGGTTCTGATTATTTTTATATTTTAAAAATATTTAAAAGAATTATATTTTTTATTTTTTTCTTTAAATTGATATTTTTTTAATATTCCCATCTCATATCATATAAAAAATAATTTTTTAAAAATAAAAAAATATTTTAATAAATTTTTAAATAAAAATATATTTTAAAAACTATATTATTAAACAACTAATAATATAATGATAGGACCACAGGTTATTAAGATTTCCAGCGATAATTGGAGGCTTACAATTTCAAATCTGACAAGAAATTTAATTGATGGAAGAAAGGAAAATACCAAAGCCAATTAATTATTGTATATAGAGAGAGTGTTTTATGGGGAAAATGGGGGTGGTGTTCCTTCTTTTTATGGTTCAACAAGGATAAAAACAGCTCCCAGAACAGGCAATGAGAAGGAATACACAGACAGGCTAGAACGCGCTCGGATTAAAAGTTCTTTTTAGCTGAAAAAAAAGATGGGCAGAGATCATCAAAGCGTTTTCTATCCTAAAAAGAAGTTTAATTGTGATAGGAAGGTTTAATCTTTATATTTAATAAAATTAATCATGAATTTTATATGTTAATAAATATTAAAAATAAAATTAACACTAATTAAAAATTAAATTAAAAAGTTAAATCTCGCATAAACAAGGATAAAAATGAAAAAACTTTGGGGAACAAAATTCTAAAATCCACACTTCATGAACTAAAAAAAGCTACTTTTTTTTTTCAACTTCAAATTTAATCCTTCTTCTCCAATCCTGAAAGTCAATAGTAAGTATTAGTTTCAATTTTTTTTAAGCAACAAAATATAATTATATTTTTTCAAATCGAGCATTAACTTAATACTATTACAACATTACGAAAAGCAGAGAACTATAGAGTAAGCTAATTAAAATAAATTATCATATATAATTCTTAATTAATACAATATAAAAATATAAAAAAAAGTTTGGTAAATGGAATAAAAAATGCTTTTACAACTAATAAAAAAAAAACCTTGTAAATATACACTGCATTGTTAATTACCTGCTGTTTTTCTTAGGTTACTGTCATTTACAAGTTGAAGGAGTAAAGGTAGGTTGAGAGAAAACATCCCTCAAATGAAGATATATATATATATATATATACCAATCACCTTGCCTATACAGAGGTAAATTAATGTGTAGACAGAGGGGGAAAGCGTCACCTTGTTTTTTTACTTTGCATGAAATTCCATGTTAAAATTAACAAATTGTCATCACTTAAAAAACAAAGCCCCACTCTCCCTCTTGGACCGTGAGTGCACCTCCTCCCATGACTACCTCTATATGTACTCTACTATTGTTCCAACTTTCGCACAGGTCACAACCTCCCATTGTAGCGTCCAATCCCAAGTCTCTCCTCCCCCGGTTCAACTCACAACAAACACCACCGCTACTCTAGATACAAAATGGCGCAAATGTTGCTCCTTTGGTGGTCAAAAACGACCACCAAGACTGGTGGTGTTGGTACCATTGCCACCACCAGTAAGACTGTTGAAAATATTGGCAGTACACAAAATTGTTTTTGTGGGTGTCTAACAAAGCTTTTGAAGAAGCTAAAGAAGAGAGGAAGAGTGATACGCGCTGCCGCTGCAGGTAGGCAATCTTCATTCCAGTGCCGGTATGATCCATTGAGTTATTCTCTCAATTTTGATACAAGTGGGTGCGGAAGCATGTTAGATGATGAAGATTACTACCACTTCTGTGCTTTCACGTCAAGGTTTGCGGCCAACCCATCAGAAAGCAGGATCAGTACTACATCCTCTTCTTCAAGAATACCAGTGGCTACTTCTCACTAGAATAAACTAACGCTGTTTAGTCCCATGTTTTGCTTTCTTGTTTTGGTCTCTTTTGTTTTCTGGAAGTTAACGTGTCTTAGGTTTTAGTCGCTTCTGATGGAGCATCGTGTGTACATTCAATGGAACATTTGATCTGATCGCATCTTAAGTTTTATTCTTCTAGGTAAAGAGAGTTAGTTATTATCCACGGAAGAGGGAAGCAAGCTAGCTAGCTAGCCTCAAATGGGTATGGGCTTTACTGCTAATTTGATAGAGCGGTGCTTTTTTTATATATATATTTCCTCAGCAGCTGAGCTTTCATGTGAAGTGATGGATACAGGAGAAGAGGAAAACTATAGTGAAATTGAGGAGTAGGTGCTTTATAATTAATCAATCCAAAACTAATTCTGTAATGATAAAGAAGTTCGCTTTCTTAATCTTCTAGTTGGGTAGTTGTACCCAAAATTACCGCACAAGATGCTATGATACATGATGATGCAACAGGTATATGCGATCACAGCCATAGGTCCATGGTGAAAAGCCTGGAAGTTAGCTTCCTTATCACCTAGACGTAGAGATTCAAAGGGCATCGGGAATGTCAAGGACCATTTTTTTTTTAGGGGGGCTGTGTACTCATGTGCATGGTGAGCTACCATCTCCAAAGCAGAATTATTGTTAGGTGTATGAAGTAGGTTATCTGGGGAGACAAAAATCCGTGATTAATGGTAGGCATAATCATGATTTTTCATAATTAAAAACACTAGACTGCGTCCTTCTAAACCTTTTTTTCTGAAAAAATAAAATAAAAGAAGGTACAGGCATGAAGAAGACTTATGATCCGTTGCATTTGACCATCATTGAATTTGTCATCAAGGTTTCTATTCTAGTAAAACAAGGCTAATTTGTTGCCTTCTGGTCTCTAGTAGGGGGAATGAAATGATGCGTCCCCAGTCTTGCAAAGAAACGGTGTTTCAATGCTCACACGCAATCTTCAACAGGACAAGAAGTGTCACTGCTTAAAGCCACTTCAAGAATTCAACTTCATTAGAGTTACAGGTTCGACGGAGACACCATGTTTAAATTTTAAATGATGGATAGAGGGGCCCAGGAACAGAGAGAGGAGATTTATGATTTACCTTACGCAACGCAATCCACCCGATTCTTTTCAATGGGGTGAGGAGGAAAACAACCCCTAGATTTGGAAGCAAGTTTGACAGATGCAGCAATACCAGCAGGGGGGGACTATATATTTCATTCTCTTGCAATAACTTAAAACAAGATGTCCTAAATGATCCTATATATGCTAGTTCATCACTCATCGAGTCATGCCTACAAAACTTTGAGCACTTAACTGGAGAGCCTGCATCAAAGAATAATGATGTTCCGTATTTCAATCCCATACCTTAACTACGGTACATGATCACTCAAAGGATGATCTGATACGGTTCCCTCAGAAGATATGTCCTCTACATCAGGCATTTTTATTGGAGAAAAATCTGACTCAGTCTTGCTTGAATCACCACTATCAGGTTGGTCTGGTCTCTTCTCTGGAAGCATGCTCTGCACCTGAGGTGGCAACCGCTCTGTATCCTTACATTCTTCCGAAGCAACTTGAGAATCTGACATTCCAACTTGGTCAAGAGATTTTCGCATGGGCACTTTACTTTCATGGATGCTTGAACTTGCTGTACCAGAACCGGAGGTTAAATTTGGGCCTGGGGTACCACAGGATGCCACCAATTGAAGAACTTCAGGAGAGGGGGACAATCCCATGGTTGTTTTCTTCTGTACGTTTAAATAAGCAGATGAAGTCAATGAATTCATCTTGCTTAAACTAGGAAGAGGCAGGTTAAGGTCAGACTCATTCCATGGGCGGCCTGAAGTTTCAGGAACTAACGGTGGAGGGAAAGAGGTGGAAGCAACATTACTGCCATGGATGCCGAATCTAAAATCCTGGGTACTTCCCCTGGTATCTAGGGGGAACTGCCTGAACATATGTGACCTTCGCTTCTTTTTCTTCCTCAAAATCCATCTTGGATCCTTTGGTTGGGAGGGAGGTGGACCAGGAATAACAAATGGAGGAATAGTTGGCTGATTTTCTCCATATAGTACACGAACTGATTGTGCTATTGCTGATACAGTGGGTGGCAGCTCAGGTTCAGGCTGTTTAACAGGGGCAGTAACAGCTTCCCGAAGCCAATGAGGCAACTTGTTAGAGGAACTGCTTCCAACCACCTCTTTACCCTTTGAATTTATTGGATTCAGGACTTTACTTGGGTGCAAGAACAAACCTGAATTGCTTAATTCACCAATTCCCACATTATTCTGGGAATCCCGCGATATGTGTACTGATTTATCGAGAAGACTAGGCAATTTTCCATACTTCATGGTTTCATATTCTTCCTCTCTTCGCTGTAAATCAAAGCTGGTTGAGGAATTCAAACCAAGAGAAGCCAAGTTGCTTGCTCCAAAAGAACTGAGCAGAAATGGATTTTCAGAGGAAACATGCAAAGAAGGTCCTACTGAAGAATCTCCAACAAAATTCGCCTGCAGTTCATCTGGATTCCAAGTTGGAATTGGGCTAAAATGCTCATTCCGCAAGCTAAGTTGATCCAATGGCTCAAAATGTGGCAGGCTAGAAGACAGATCACCAAAACCCAATTTCATGTCTGTCAGATGCGATTGAAACTTTGATGGTCTGCTTCCATGCAAAGCCCGTGTCATCATTCCCTCAGGAATACTGGAAAACAAGGATGATTTGGAGGACTTTGTTGCCTTCAGTGTCTTTAGCAATGGGAAAGCAGACCCGTCCAAAAACTTGAGTTGCTCCTCCTCCCACCTCACTGCTAAATCTTCTGAAGTTTTGTACTTCGAGAATTTTAACCTGGGGTCTCTAAGCATGGCATCCCAATTACCCCTTCCATATCTCCGAACACCAACCCAGAGGAAATCAAGTTCATCCTCAGACCAGACATCTACTTTTGATTTCTTACTATACAAGCTACTTGATCCAGAGCCAGTCCTCATTATTATGTTCTCAAGTACCTTTCTGTGGTTTTCAGGAAATGATGGAAAAGGGGATGGCATCTGACCCAAACCCAGTGTGGGAGGAACATCCTTCTCCAGCTGATTATATCTTATTGCATCTTGAGGGTGAAATCTCAAATTGGGCAACAACGGCATTGCTGGAAGGTCTCTCATAGAGTCATTTACAGCTTCAAGTCTTCTCCCCAGGGACAAACTGGGTAGTAAGTCATGTTGTGTACTAGGTATGCTCTTGGAAGGAAGTGGGAATCTGGGCAGCAATTTCTCATCAAAAGGCAAGTTTGGCAGTGACATCTTTTCCTGAAAACCAGCAAAACTGGAACTGGAACCTTCCAAACGATCAGAATCTTTCCCATGTGATATAGGTGGTGGACACTGCAATAATTATAAAATATGTGTACATAACTAAATAGGTCAGTTTTATTTAGAGATTAACAAAGTCAACAAAGCGTGAGAGTAACAGACAAAGAATACCGGACTAAACGGGTGCCAACCATCTGATAAGTTATTTTTAAGACGTTGTTGCAAAACTTCAGCTGATGCATCTAGCAATTTTGGCTTGTCTGATGTAGTCTCCTGATGTTTTACATCCATCTCAATTGATGTTCCAGAGCAAGAAGGTAGACTAAATGGAAATTCTGGCCCAGTCACTGGCTTGCTTTGTCGACCCTTCGATCTTGAAGAGTTTTTGTGCAACAAATCCAATTGGTTGGCGTTGGGAGCACAGAGTCCTAGAACTGGTAACAGGTTGTTGGAAAGAAGCAAGTTTGCATTGCCTGTGCCCTGATTTTGGTGAGCTGGAAGTTTTGTGTCAGAGGGGTGTCCAAGAGAATTAATAGAAAGATCCAGATGACCTCTCAACTTATGATTAGATTGGTGGCCCGACTTTATGGCTGCATCGGCATTACTCCTTGTTGCATCTGGCTGAGTGAACTCATAATCCTCTAAGTCAATCACAAAAGACCTTTTCTCCCTGCCTTGTTGAGCAAACTCCACTGCCTGATTCCCATCCGTGTTTTTGGCAGGACGACAACGAGGAACCAACTCAGGTATAGGAGGCCCCTCATTAGGATGAAATACTTCAATTGAATTCCGCTGAGCAAGGCGTTCTTTTTGTCTAGCACGAAGCTTAGCACTGCTCAAAGAAAAGTAAATTGAAACATATGATGTCAACTATTTTTCTAGATCTGATTTTCCTCATAGTTAACTGTGTCCAAGTAGCATGACATTTTCCACATGTTTCAAGAATATGAAGCCCTACGATTCTAATTTATTTTTTATTTTTTTGATTGGTAAGATATCAGAATAATCTTAACTCAAGGTCCAATTTGACCCCATACCTATACTCTACATTACAGCAGCTAGAATGTTGTTGTTGATGATGATGAGTTGAGCGCAATGGGTTTCTTGGGTGAAGAAATTCAACTTACTATTTTGCCTTTAGAACTCTTCCAGCTGGTGTATATTCCCGCTCAGGCTCCACTTCTGGTTCTCGGTCCTCTTCACCACCACTCTGCATTTAAAGTTGAACTTGATAGTTGAAACTATGACTAACTATAATCAAAAGAAGATAAGGAAAGGAAAGGAAAGGAAAGAAGAGAATAAATATGAAAACAAATGAAACTATGACTAACTATAATCAAAAGAAGAAAAGGAAAGGAAAGAAAAGAAGAGAATAACTATGACAACAAATGAATTGTGCTTGGTGGAAAACATGAAAGGTTACATTTTAGAGAGATCTGCTGAATCATTGAAAAGACAAGTAGCAAGTAAATCAAAAGTGTACTCCAGTTGAAAAAAATAAATATTTACGAGCCTAGGTTTTTAATAAAAACAAAAAATTTTATGTAAAATAAATCTTACTCCATGCAGCTTCAAGCTGGACGCACTAGAAATATGAGAAGGAAGCAAAAGGAAAGACAGTTGAAAGGAGTGACACGTAGAGTAAACTGGAGAGAAGGAAATAAAATTGAACTGAGCATGTGCATTGGCTTGCAATAAACAATATCAAAGACCAAAATGGTAACCAAGCTTCATCTCACTGCATGAGGTCAGCACTGCAATCTTCAGTGAAAACCATAGACATAAGAAGCTACTCCATTCTACCAATCTCCACAGTTTCAGACCATTTCCAAGTTTTTGAGATAATAATGAATGTTTTTCCATCAAATGTTGAGAGAGAGGATGAGGGAAAGGGAAAAGGAAGCGGTTCAGTTTGTATGGAATACTAATCCGAAGTTTTGGAAGAGATATAATAATGTAGGCATGCATAAACACTATAGAAAAAGGAAAAGAAGGGGAAAGCTAAATCAGCCTATGGCCCAATAAAAAATCACACGTGAACTAAGAGACCATTCTGGTCCAACCTTCATTGGCAACATAATAGACCAGCTTTGTATTCATTACACTTGGAAGCAAATAGAAGTACCTCACTCAATGTTTCATTTAGATGCGGAGCATAAGCTTCCCTGTAAGAGACAGCTTTCCTCAAGCGTTTCCCTCGACCAAGAGCAGCTTCCTCCTCGGTTTGATACTTCTCCCATCTAAAACCCAGTAAAACAAACAGGAAACTTAAATAAGCATTCGCCTGAGATACATTTCACTAAACAGAATAACTGAGTGATGGTAATTTTATCTCATGAATCATTTGAATTATGCATGTTGTTATTAGGAAAAAGGGGGAATAAGAAACAAATATTAACATGTTGGAGAGTAATTATTTCAATCATTGCTTTTCAATGCGGGAAAAAAAAAAAGAACAGAGTGTCCCAGGAGAACATAATAAGAATTGGAAAGTTATAATGTATTATTTTCCTAGTAAAGAAAGAGGATGCTATGAAGTGAGAATGATAATAAAAAAGGAATTAAAGAAAAAGATTACTGACACTGAGACTAAAACAAATTTTCATATAATTTGAATCACAACTCTTTGTAGATGTTAAACCATGTGAGGAAAAAAAAAACCATCGCTAAAATTCAATTCTATTATAACCCCGTGGAACCTTGACTGTCAGGGTAACTTGACTTTACTCTTCTAAAACAATAACCAAAATAACAAAATAACTATGCAAAGAGAGAGATAAATGGCCAAATTACAAGACTTTAAGGATCTACTGGACACTTTTCCATGTAAAGGACTTCAAACTGGATGGGTTTGGGTGTCCATAATTTATATGTGGACTTCTACAACAGAAAGCAGTATCCAAGGTCAAACATGGTCAAATCAATTCACTGTACAAGCAGTAATTCCTAGAACACAAAACTACTTCAGGTGCCGCAAAATCACCAGAAACAAAAAATTGTGAAATTGCTGCAATTCTGAATTGAAGTTGCTATATAATAACAAGACCACTAGCAGTTCAGGATAGCATCACCACACATGAACAGCTGGGATGTCTACCTATAAATATACTATACTGGACTGAACCCTCCCTTTGACCAATTGACCAAATGAATTGTTAATAGACTGTATTATTAATATAAACCCAATCAATGCATCTCAATTTAACTGTTTTAACAATTCTTTCCATCAAATAAATCAAGCAACAGACTGACTGGTTCCAGAAAATGGTTCACAGCATGGCGCGGATGGATAACTAGTTGAGTCATAAGATACAGATTATTTTTTTTTAAGAATGAGTGGCAAGACAACACTAACATGAAGGGAATTGCATGTTTAAAATATTCCAGAGTCGCTAAAAAAATCATAAGTATATAGTTCAATCATGGTGAAACAATACGTTTGCCAACACGGCCTGTTCACTTTTCCATGTATTATAGAATAAAATTCAGACAAAGTAAAACTACGGGTAAATCTCCTTACCTTACACGCAAAAGCCTGTCCCATTCATTTTCTTCAGTGATATTTATCCCATTCTCCTCTTTCCTTTCAGGATTTTGTCCACAGGTATCATCAACAACAACTGGCGATTCAGCTCCCCCTTGCTCTTCTGTTGTTTCATCATTCCATTCCAAGGACTGCTTAGAAAAAAGCAGAGAGATAATAATCAAAACCAGCAGTAAACATAATTTTGTTTGTGGTATTCCTCTTTAGAATTAATCATTAAAGATGCAACATTCTGGAAAAGATTAAGATAAATAAAAGAACCAGGAAAATCCACACAGCAACCAAAAAGGCAATAATAAGACAATCCAAAGAATATATTCAGAAACATTTTGAAACCAAAAGGAAGTCTCATAAAATAGCTATTTTAAGGAATAAATTTTTCAGAGGCTGAAAAAAAGAACAAGGAAAGTTTAAACAAAACCGAGCCAAACTAAGAAAAGAAATATACAGACTCCTAGGGGCCACTCTCCTCCAAATAACGTGGTCACATGTTTTCATCATACATGGGGCAAGATGCAACAAAAACAGTTGCAACAGAAAACAGTAAGGCCAGGGAAATATGGTTGTTAATTTCTACATGGGAAAGCCTAACTTTTACTCAAAGTAAATTTACAACCATTTGTAGCATCAGAATATAGCCCAGAGCATCTAACTCGACAAATTCCAATTTAAATAAATAAACTGGGGTTTTGGTAGATGCACCAAGGCAACAAGAAATGATATTTCAACCAATGATTCTGATGAAGCAAAAGTCGTATTCCAGTAAAATAGTAAAAAATAAGCATGTCACCTGTAAGAGCAAAATGGGAGTACTTTTGACATAGGAACAAATTAACAGATCAAAGCAACAACCAAATCACACACTCACCTTTACTGAGCCAAGCATATCATTCTCAAAATCTCCTTCAGCAGCATCAGTTGTTGCCAACTGGAGGTTTGAGCGGTCAAGTAACTTTGATATTGCATTTTCATCCCACACAATCTTGTTGCCACAATCTGTACATTTATCCTGATACACGTCCCCAAGGCCACCACCCCTCTTCCTCTGCTTTTGCTCCGGATCTGCTATTGCATCATCTTTATCTTTGTTGACATTATTCTCACTGTTATCTTTCCCATTCATGCTTGAAGAATCACTAAAAAGTTCTTCAGTTCCCCATCGTAGAATATCTTCCACTTCCTTCTGAGACCCAGACTTATTCACAAAGAGCTGATCAAGCACTAGTTTCTTTCTAGCAAGTTGCAAGATGCGCTCTTCAACACTGGCACGAACAACAAGCCTGTACACCAGAAGTCTATTGGATTGCCCAATTCGATGTGCTCGATTCATAGCTTGGATATCAGAATGTGGGTTGAAATCGGAATCATAAATAATGACAGTGTCCGCGGATGCTAAATTGATTCCAAGGCCACATGAGCGTGTTGACAACAGGAAAACAAATCGACTTTTATCTTGGTTAAATCTTGCAATTGTGGTCTGGCGATCAGAGACTGATACAGAACCATCCACTCTCTCATATGTTTTTGGGCCGAACTCTATGTTCAAATAATCCTCAAGGATATCAAGAAGTTTGGTCATTTGTGAAAAAATTAGAACTCTATGCCCTTCCTTGTATAAGATCTTGAGCATGGAATGCAGCAGAGTCAGCTTGGCTGAAGCTTTTATTCGCATTTCATGAAGAAATTCTAATGACCCAGAATCAGGCTCAGTACCTGGTATGAGATATGGATGATTGCAAATTTTTCTCAGCTGCATCACAATGTTTAGCATCGATTGTTGTGCAACTCCTTTCCCAATATTCCGTAACATTTGATAATTCTTCGTTAGCATTGCTCGGTAATACTCAGCTTGGATAGAAGACAACTCAACAGGAACTATTCGTTCTGTCTTGGGGGGGATATTTTGCATAGCATCCTTTTTAAGCCTTCTTAACATATGTGGTGCAACAAGTTTCTTCAGTTCTTCCACTTTTTCAGTCGTTGTGAGATCATTAAATTTCTCCTCAAAGGAAGATAAAGAGGGGAATGAAGCTGGCTGTAAGAAATTGAGCAAATTATACATCTCACCAATGTTATTCTGAAGAGGGGTACCAGTCAAAAGAACACGGTGTTGGAAAGAGAACGTATTGAGCAAACTGAACAGCTTGCTCCCTGAATTCTTAAGTCTATGGCCCTCATCAACTACAAGAACTTCCCAAGGAACTCCACGCAAATAAGTGGAATCTGCAAGAACCATTTCATAAGTGGTTAAAAGAACATTAAATTTGTAGGAAGTGGTTTTCTTGTTCATCTCATTGGGATCACTAGCATGCCATTCATACAGGCGAATCATGGCCCTTGCTTTTGCACACCCATGGTACTCCACAACATTTAAGTTGGGAGCCCACAGTGCAAACTCAGAGAGCCAGTTAGGCATTGTCGAAAGTGGAACCAGGACCAAGCAGGGAAGAGAAACTTTGAGCTCAAAATACAAAGATGAAATAAAAGCACAAGCAGATACTGTTTTTCCCAGCCCCATCTCATCAGCAAGTATCACATTTTTGGATTTATGCCAACACTTCCGCAACCAATTCAATGCCTCGAGCTGGTGAGGGAACAAGGAGCCTCCTTTTAGCTCCTCTGGTTGCTCCACCAGAGTAGCAATTTCATTTTGCAGACCATCACATCTCCCTTTCCGTAGATCATCCCTTGCAGAATCTTTTTCCAATGCCCGGTGTTCAAGTTGATCAAACTGATCGATCAGATGAATTGATTTTTTGACAATAGGATCGTCCACACTTTCCCAAGTGCATTCGTCATAAGGAAGACCAGTCCATTTTACAAAAGCTTCCCTGCTGCCCTCAGAACCACGGAGAGCAATTACCCGCTGGGGCTGCTTCCACTTCTCCTCACAGATATTTATCACAGCATTTCCATACTTAGCCTTATAATTCTCTAGTTTTCTCTTTGCAAGAACTTTTAGCTGGGATTCTGAAATCCAACTGTTATGTATATGAGACCTCCCAACCCACTTAACTAGGAATTCATAAGATGTTGTTCCTTTGTTCGCACATATTGGTTCTTCCATGGTAGGCTTCAGTACTTTATTTTCACCACCACAAGTTTTGATTTCCACATCTTCTTTTCTGTCTTTGATTTTAGAAGAGACATGCATTTCACAAACTTCAGAAATTTGAACCCTAGAGCCTTCCAAACAAAAATTGGTGATTTCTTCAATCACCGGATTTTCATGTATTCTCACTGTTACTTCTGTCGTTATTGCAGATTCATCTTGATTCGTACCACTTATGACTCCAGAACCTGAATCCTTTCCATCCTTCCCTAGTAAATCCTTGTTGTTCCCTCCTTTACAATCTTTGCTTGCAGATCTTCTGTATACACGTATTGTGTCCACTCTGATGTCATTCTTCACACTTACATCCTTCTCAGAACTTTCAATAATGCCAGGATGACCCTCAACATGATTTTCAGCAATCCCCACATCTGAATCCACATCACAAACAGCTTTTACCTCTAGGTGTCCATTTTCAAAATCTGGAATAAGCAATTCATCAGAAAGCTGGTCGTTTTTGGTAATCTGAAATGTAACACATGACGAGCTTGTATTATCACCCTGAATCCGACAGCCCAATACCCGATCAACCTGTAATGTGGATATAAATCATATTGTACGAATTCAAGTATTTCAAGTAGAAAGCATTCATCTATATCTAAGAGATTAATAGAAGAAAGCCTACAAATTTTCTGGATATAGCTGATTCACCTGCTGAAGTTCGGTCATGATAATATCTTCACATTTCTGGGTTTCTTCCACATGAACCTCTGCTTTATATGACTCTTCTAATGTTTGTTCAACTTCCACGGGATTCTTCTGATGAAATAAATAAATTTACTCATAATAATCATAACACCAAACATAGGCATGCAACAGCAATAAATGACAATGATGCTGAGAATGACAAGAGGAACAGTACTGACATGAAGAAGATGACAATGATTGTAAAGTACTGATAATATATGTTTGGGCTGATTGCATCATTTATTGATTTTGCTAGTTTGAAGCCTAAATCCAAGATAGATGGAGGTTTTATGAGCACACGGTGGTGGAGAGAAATAATCTGCCCACGGTTGATGGTGCCAGTAGGAACACCGCCAACAACAAACTACTGTGCCAGCTTGCATGCAACATCAATAAGCAAAACCAGACAGATGAAGTGGTATATTGTTACAGTGCTAACAACTAATGAAGAGTGAGAATTTAATGTAGCAATAACCAGTGACATGTGGTAAGCACATGATGACCTAAGGTACAGGCATATAGTCATACCTACCAACCGTTATTGTTACTATCTTGTATTTTATGCTTGATGAAATATCCACATAACTATAAAGGGAAAATGAAAAATAATAGTAAAAAAAATTACCTCATCCTTCTGCAAATCTAAGTTCTTGAGTTCAACATCTTCTGCTGACACAAATACAGAAACCTCATGATTAACAGCTTTCTGTTTCTGATTCGATTTATGAGTCCCGGAACTTGCAGTATTGGTTTTGGATCTATTTTTTTTGGAAGTGCGTTTTCCCTTGTTGGTCCTGTGCTTCTTAAAACTGACCACACTACAGCCTTCAAGCTTTCTTTTCCTGTTCTCAGAGGTTGCACCAATTGCAAGAACAATTTTCTTTCTTGGAGATCCATTATCGCAAGACAAGACAAGCTTCTCACCAGAAAAGTCTTTATTTGGCTCGGATTCAGCAAGTTTAGAATGAGACAAAAGTTTGTCAGCAAGGGCAATTGATTTCTTCCCTGCTGATGACTCCTTTGGAGATGCAGGAGGTTTCTTTTCATCAATGTTCACATGCAATGAAGTGCCATCTACAGAACCAAGAGCAGATGGATCACTTGGCTTGGAGCTAGAAGATACATATAACAAGGAATCGGGGTCTTTTTCCACGGATTTGGATCCTACTGTTAGAACAGATTTCCCTTTGCAGGAGGACCTTCGCTTGGAGACAATGGAGCTTCCAAAGAGAGCAGATACTTTGTCAGCTACTGATGACTTTACTCCAGTCCTAGAATTTGTAGTGACAATTTTTGTTCTTGCACGTTTTGAAATGGAACCCATTGGGTTAATGGACTTCAGCGGGTCATTTTTTTGAGAGCACTTTGGGCATTGCCATTTTCCCATTGGAATGCGCTTCAGAACATGAATAAAAAAGAATTAAAAATATGAGGGAACAGTCATTGATATCATCAAATATGGCAGGAAGGAAAAACAGAAAGAAAATCATCAGCATGCAGCTTCAACACAACTGAAAATACCTTTAGAGGTGGATCAAGGCATTGTAGATGATACACCCGGGGACAGCTATCACAGCACAACAAGTTGCCACCAAGATCACATATTACACATTCATAGTAATACTGGAAGGCAAAGTTTATTAAAAGGTAACAAGGAGTTAGTAAATGCAAGCACATACCCAAGACACTCAACTCCAAATAGTTATAAAGATGAGTAGCTTGCTGAAACAACAAAATTAACCTAGGAAATAAGTTATGAACAGAGGGAATAGCATATCAAATGAACTTTGTTGGCATGTGATTTTAACTTGCGATCTAGAATCCTAATGGTATCATCACAAATATAGACGAAGGGGAGAGAGGGATTGTGAACACCAGCTACACGCCTCTGCCACATAAAGAGATCAAAAAACTTCCCACAATGTTCTTGTGCCACCATCCATAGACAAGTTACTCGCTAAAACAACCAGAAAGCTTGCGTCGTATTTAGGTTTGGAACACCTCATGTAGTTAAAATTTATAATTCCAGGAAAGGCTCCAGAAAAATGAGAAGAGGATCCTTAGATTATTGTTCTGCTCAAAGACATCAATTATGTTCAATTGCAAAAAAGACTAAGCTAGAAAAGGTTCTTCAAAACACTTACTATCAGTTTCCTTAATTTGATTGGAATCAATGAGATGGGGGGGATTTTAACCTGAAACTTCTTCTGGTGAAACCTAGAACTAGAATTTAAAGGAAAGCATTGGTGATGTATCAAGTAAATATTTTCACATCAGGGGGGTCTTCCTGTCATGATCTCAACAGAGCATTTCATGAGGATCATTGCTTTTTACAGAACACACTCTACAGCCAAATTTTAGCCCTGATAGGAATGTACAGGATTTCTTTTACTTCCTGTGCTATTTTATGTTACCAAAGTCCCATTTCAGTAATAAATATTTAATTTAAAGCCATGATGAAATGATATTTTCAATTCTCAAAGAAAAGGAAGAATTGACTAGTTAAAAAGTCCAATTGAAGCTCCATCAGGCTTTATATGGAAGAAAGTCCCATTCATAAAAGGAATTGGTTCCAAACACATAGGACTGTCAAGCCACATGGATGTTTTTGTAAGACAAATTGGATCCAGATGATGATCATAAACAGCCATGCAACTGAGCATAGAAGAAGAAACCCAAAACATGAGACAAAGATAATATAATTAAAATGTGTTCCATAAATTATCAGAACAGGTTTTATTATTCAAAACCAATGATAAGCAAACTGCCTGTTCAATTAAAATCAGAGCAAAAATGTGTTCATAAACCATCTATCAAGGATTTTATGCTATACTTTTGAGCTGAAGAAACATCAATCCAACAGAATGCTACATAGAACAAAAGGATAACTCACCCCATCATTTCCTTTCTTCTTGGATGTAGATAGATCAGAACTTAGTTCACTCTTTGGCCTGCGTTTAGCAGCAGAAGTATTCCTTGGAGACTCCAGGTTATCTTCTTTACTAGTAGAAACAACTCGTCCATATAGAATCTTTTTTCGTTTTCGCTTCAAGACCCAGTTTCTGCTTATCATTTTGCTACTTGTTGAGCCGTTATCCTTCATCTTTTAATTTTGTTTTACATTTGCCAGAAGCATCCCCACAACACATGCCATGCATCAGATAGGAAGCAGCATCAAAGCTCCAAAAGAGCAACTTAAGCCACTACAAATCCTCAGCATCCTGTTGAACATTTATAAAGGAACTCCAATAAGAAAATAGCAACATTGGATAACAACAAATTAGAATGAACCAAATGGTGACTAACTTTAATACTGCCTAGTGGCTTTGACAGCATCCACATAGAGAAGTACAAGACATAATCAGTGTTCAGTACAGATAATCAGACCTTGTCAAATCCAACAGAAAAAAAAAGGTTAAAAATGCATGATATCTCAAACAAAAGCAGCACAAAGCAACAAGCACTTCACAAGGTTTTGACTTCAAATTGGCTAATCACCGCAATTATCTACGTCTATCATGTCAAAGAACTCATGTTATTATTTCCTCTCAGTGAAAGGTAACATTCTGCAATCTAGGAAAGGATATGATACCAGATCATCAGAAAGTTAAGTCCTACACTAAGTAATAATTGCAAGGGGGTGCATCTTCTCGCTAAGCTAGCGAAATCAAGTCATGCAGATGAAAATCCAAAATTAGCATTTCACACTAAAGTTTAACCCATCAGATTAGTTTCGGTAAAGTAAAAGACACAAATTGCAGAGATGATCCCAATGCAAGTATTACAATGACAACAACCCACCTCCGGACTCAAAGCACAACCAACCAAAACCATTGACTTGATTAATCACCAACTACCTATTTGTTGACCTCGTAGCAGGAGATTGACAGAAATTTGCTACAATTCGCAATACCAAATTGGAATTGGCTCCAACAAATACATACAAGCTTCACAGAGACCAAAAGCCAACCACTGCACTGGCACAGCACAGCTGAAGCAAGCCACCACAATCTCTGTAGTGAAATCAATTAGCTATTCAGACTTAAGCAATCAAAACCATGAAATGACAAACGAAACAACAAAAAGAGTGCCAAAATTGAAGAATCCAAACATAAGGAACTTGACCAAGCACATGCATTCACTCAAAACCAAAAACCCCCCATTCCATCAACTATTCGATGAAACCACATTCTTTTCAAAACCCATGTACCAAATAACTCCATATCACCAAACAATTCGGCAGCAATCAATAAAACAAACACGAACTCCAAAATCAAGCAATAAAAACATCCAAACAGCTAGGAAATTAGCTCAAACTACATAATATCGAAACCACTCGTAGAATTAACCCAACAACCAACTTCAAACAAAGAAATAAGAAGTACCCAGATAAGAAAACAAGCTCACCAATCTTTGCTGTGGATCAAAAACCAATCTTTGCTGTCTAATGTCCTCAGAAATTGACGGGTTAAGCAAGATACACACTATAGAAAGCTGGAGAGATTAGAGCTCGGAAGTTAAGGAGAGAAAGGTATGAGATGCGCGGGAGAGAGAGAGAGAGAGAGGCTAAGACACAAATAGCAAAACAACATTAAAATAATAAAAAGCCCCCACCACCTCTCTCTTTATATATACAATCAATACATTTAGAGAGAGAAAGAGAGAAGGATACGGTTTCGCCGGGGTCTTAGGACGGGGTTACACTATGACATTTCAGCGCATGAGAGAGACAGTGAAAGCTAGCGAAAGCCCGTCAAATTGCACCTACCCACTTATATATTGCCACGTGTCTCAAGCTGGGTTCATGTTCCCAAAAATTTTCCTTCCTTTTTCTCCTCATTTGATCTTGCGTGTCTTTCTAAATGTAACTCCAACAAGTCCCCTACTCCTCGTCCTGTCTCTCTCTCTCTCTCTCTCTGGTTGCGTTGCATTTTATAGAAAGAAAATGCAGAGAGAGAAGGAGGGAGAACGTGAGGCTCAAATATTCATCGTTATTTTTTGCACACCGATTCGAGGGCACTAACCGCTGCTGCTGCCGCCACAAATTCTACCCAAACTTTCATAAAATGTCAGCATAATACACAAGCTCATGTTTTTTGATCCCCATGATGTTAGCGTTTATCGATTGTATATGTATATTCCTATTTTCATTCCCCAAATATATATATATATAAAGATATAATTTTCTACCCTTTTGTACTAACATCCCATGTATACCAATAGTTTCTTGGATTTCTTTTTCTTTTTTTTTTAATCTGAATTTTTCTTTGATGCTGTTGGTATTCAGACCATTTAGCTCGAACAGAATTTAGAATATTCATCATTAGGCACTTGTATATTTTCTGTCTTTATGGTGTTGTTTCTTCTTACAATATATGCTTATTTCTACCATTACCTATCAATACACACACACACACACACACCCAGTGAATGTGATATGATTTTACTACAACAATGGAGTGTACGTGATTTCTTCCAATGGAACATGACATGACTACATTGGATGATTCGCCACGTCTGTCTGCGTAACGTGGACATGTTAGTTATTTTCTTTTTATGGAACTGGATTTTAGTAATCTCGTAGGTGGATTAAAATAACTTTTTTATTTTAAAATTTTTATTTTTTATATCAGTATATCAAAACAACTCAAAATCTCAAAAAAAAAAATCATAACTTTCTAAAAATAAACACTGCATTCATTTAGTGAAATCTTTATTAATAACCACTGGCCCCCACTATTTATTAATACTATGGTAGAGCCCAGTCATGGTGAAATCTTTATTTGTTGCGAAGAACAACAGTTCACTGGATCTTCTGGGTCATTCTGGGAGGAGAGATCATTTCCCAATATCTGAAAATTGGAATACAGTTACTGCTATAATAAAAACAAAAACAAAAATAAATATAATCCTGAAATACTAACATCAATGAAAACAAAAAACCTCTATCACCAGCAAACTTTTAAGTGGGACCCTACACAACTAAGCATTACATAACATGATGGATGACAGATGATTGCTTTGTGCAAGGCATGTACTCAGTTTTTCAAAATGTTTTTTATTTGAAGTTATATTAAAATAATATTTTTTTAAATTTTAGATTTATTTTTTATATTAATAAGATCTGAAAATATATAAAAAAATTAATTTAAAATTTAAAATATATTTATTTTAAAAAAACACAGAACAGAATAAGAAACTAAAACTTAATTGACACGCGCGTGTTTTTCATTAATCTCTCAGTAAATACCGCTTTTTTTAGATTAAAAAAAGGCCAAATAAAAATTGACAGATCTACTTCATTTACCCACACAAATGATAGAATAAAACCTATAATAATAATAATAATAATAATAATAGAAAGGATAAAAACAAGAACATTCTATATTTATACGCACAAAAATCAAGAGAGAAAGAAAGAAAAACAGAGTCCGGCTGTTTCCTAAGCTGACTTACTGTCTTTGCTTCTATTTTCTGGTACTCCCTCTTATTTCTTCACTTCTCATCGGCTCTTTTTTGGCTAAAAATTTATCTTTTAGTTTAAAAGTTTTGATCTTTCCTATTTGTTCAAGCTGTGATCGTGATTAGTCTATAATAATTGTGTTCACGTATTACTATTAATTCTTTTTGGGTAAGTTGAGGTGAAATCAGTGTGAGTTTTGGGTTTTTGAGTGGGATTTTTATGTGGGTTATATGTGGTATTGATTTAGGTTTCTTAAGAGTTTAAAGTTTACTTCTTTGAGCTTGATTTCAATTGCAAGTCGTTGTTAGGGTTTGATGTTGTTTTGTCTTTGTTAATTTCCAAAGTCACCCGATTATACTTTTTCAGTCCTTATGTTGTGATCAAGTTTTTTGAAGTAGATTTAAATAATTTAGTTCTAATTATGGTTTTTGTCTTTCGACCTTTATTTTTTTTTCCTGGGTAAAAATTGTATATACTTGTCTATCTGGGATTTCCTTTTTTGCTCGGTATGATTTATATAAATTGAGTTGTGTCTTTAAGAGACTGTACCAACACAGTTATTGTCTGCAGTTATATTTGTTTTTTTAAGGCAATTTCTCATTAGCATCACTGAATCTGTTTTCAACACATAATTGATTCATGGGACATTGAGTTGTGGTGTTTCAGTGGTAGCTACGATGATTCTTGAATTTAACTGATAGTTTTCTATTTGTTTGGCCACCAAGAAAGACAAGGAAAAGTAACCACATCTAAAGTTTTCAGTATCAGGTCTTCTTTGCCAAAGACATGGAAATGAAGCACCTGATAATCTTATGACCTATAAGCTCAACACAATTTTTTTAGGCAGATCCATCTCTGTCATAAGGCATGCATATTTGTATTCTTTCTGTGAAAATTAATCCCCTTATTTCTTTCTTTAAGTGGGTGGATCTATCTATTTCATCCTACTTTGTGCAACTCTACCATCACCGGGGGGGCTTTCCTGTAAAATTTACTGACCTTTGATAGCAAATAATCCCTTGATCATGTGTTTGTTTCTATTTGAAATGCTCTAATTTGTCTTGTTGCCTCAAATATCTTCTTTTCCTAAAGATTGCTCATACTAGGTGTTTGCTTTCAAATTACCCATGTAATTCTCATTGCCAAGATCTTATTTCCCATTTCAGGTTTTCTCCTGCTAAGATGTCATTTTCGAAGCAAAGCTTGTGGTTGGCCATATGAGTGTTTCTGTACTGATATGGCATTATTGGCATCTTGCCTTGCTGGTGCAGTTGATTTAAATGGACAGGAATCTGGGAAAAAGCATGGTAGATCAACAGAAAAACTATGAACAAATTCAATCCAATAACATGGAAGCTAGAAATGAAGGGAAGGGGTCTGTAAACCAAAGATTTTTCCATGATCCATCAGCTAATATTAATACTAACATGCGACCTCCTGACTACAACATGTCAATGGGAGCTAGGCCTGTGCTAAATTACTCCATTCAGACTGGTGAGGAATTCGCTCTTGAATTTATGCGGGAGAGGGTGAACCCCAGGCAACAGTTCTTTCCAAATGCTCACATTGATCCTAATAGTTCAACTAGCTATGTGGGACTGGACGGTGTTTTGGGAATATCTCATATGAGTTCTGAAAGTGGGGCTGACATCTCTATGATTAGCTCGGTTGAAAAAGCTCAGAACCAGGAGTCTGACAGGAAGGGGTCTTCTGTTAATGAAGATCAAAGCTATCATGACCCTGTCCCATCAGTACCGCGAACCTCATCTAGAAATGACAGCAGTCGAGGAATTCATGGTTATCCATCTTCAGGAGCTTCTGATAGTTCATCAACAAAGTTGAAGTTTCTCTGCAGCTTTGGTGGTACAATTTTGCCTCGTCCAAGTGATGGAAAGCTGAGATATGTTGGGGGCGAAACGCGCATTATCCGAATAAGCAAAAATATTTCTTGGCAGGAGCTTATGCAGAAAACAGTGGCAATTTACAATCAATCTCACACTATAAAATATCAGCTTCCTGGTGAAGATCTGGATGCGTTGGTTTCTGTATCCTGTGACGAGGATCTTCAGAACATGATGGAAGAATGCAATGTATCAGAAGATGGGGGGTCAAAGAAGCCTAGGATGTTCCTTTTTTCTTGCAATGATCTAGAGGACTCCCAGTTTGGCCTAGGAAGTGGTGAGGGTGAGAATTCTGAGATTCAATATGTAGTTGCTGTAAATGGTATGGACTTGGGTTCAAGGAAGAATTCAATGAATCTGGCAAATGCACCCGGGAACAATTTGGATGAGTTGCTCTGTCTTAATGTTGAGAGGGAAAGCGGTCGAGTTGCAGCTGAATTTACTGGCAGTAATGTCCTGTCTTCAGCTGTCAATACACTGCCATCAACAATTCAATCTTCTCAACCAGCGCCGATGCTTTCATCTAGCACCCAAGAATCTAATTCACAACCTTACCATGGCCAGAAAATGCACCGTGGAGATAATAGCCAGCGTCCAGCATCATCCACGCAACCTATTGAGAGCTTCTCCCATGTGGATGGAAAGGGTGTCAATCCATTGCCGGTCCCAATTCAATTTGGTTTTGGTTCTCATCTTCCTGACCATGCAACAGTTGGGGAAAATTTAGTGGGAGTGCCTTTCCATGTGTATCCTCCAACACAACAGGGGGTTTTGGCAGAAGAGAAACCGTATAGCGGCATTCATGTGCAAAATGCAGAAGTGTCTGTAAAGGATACAAAACTCAAAAGAGATAGCTCAGGAAAGAAAATAAATGAACCTGAGAAAGTTAAAAATATGGATAAGGAGGCAGCTAAAAAGGAATTGAAAATGAAGCAGGATGATTCCTTCCAGAAGCTTAATGAAACTTTTAAAATGCGGGCAGTGGAAAATGATACTGTTTCCTTGCATCCACATGATAGTTCTGCTCCAAATTACACTTCTAGAGAAGATACATCGGTTGTCAATTCAATGCAAGAAGTAGGATCGCCACTGCAGCTCATGAAAACTAATAAAGGGCCCCAAGAAGCTGTACTCGGTTCTATGTCCACTGAAGCTGTGACTGAAGGGATAAAAAATAACAGGGATGACCATTTCCATTCATCTGGTGATCCATTTGCCCCAGGATATGGGGGTTCTGAGGCTGATCCAACAGATTTTAGCTATCCTGAACCATCTGTGGTTTCTCATCGAGTTTTTCATTCTGAGCGAATTCCCAGGGAGCAGGCAGAATTAAATCGCTTGTCAAAATCTGATGATTCTTTTGATCCTCAGATTCTAATAACTCAAGCACGTTCTGGTTCTCAACCAGTTATAGAATCAATTGATAAGTTGCATGAAGGAAATGTGGCTTCCCAGACTGACCAGCCCCGCACATCTGCAAGATCGCGTTATGCAAATCCCCAGACTGTTGAAGATGGACTTGCACAGTTTGAAAAGTATAAAGAATTTGCTGATAACATCAGTAAAGTGAATCCCAATATTGCTCAAGGTCTAGGGTCAAACGTGCAGAAATCTGAATTGAGACGTGTTGTTTTTAATCCAGTGGATGATTATGAAGGTTCCCAGGTTAAAGGTAACTACACTGATCGCTCTATCAATGATAACAAAGCAGTTGGGTTGACACATTCCACAGCAAGTCAGGGAACTTCTAGTAAGCACCCAGAAGATCCAGCTTTGGGGCCTCAAGAGTTTGAAAGAACTGATATTGGTGCTGACAATAACAATGGGAACAACATCAAGGTGAGTGTGCAGCCTCTGGCATGGACAGGAAGCCCAGTTAGAGCTGTTTCTCAAGGGGAACCCAGCATTGGTGTTGGCTCTTCTGAGCAGAAAGACATATATATTGATATAAATGACCGGTTTCCTCCTGATTTCCTGTCTGATATTTTCTCAATAGCAAAAACACATGAGACTGGGGTCAGTCCAGTGCATGTTGATGGAGTGGGCTTGAGCTTGAACATGGAGAATGATGACCCATACTTTCAGAAAATGGCTCCAGATCAGTCTGCCAGGAAAGTTTTTTCCCTTATAGACCAAGACCATCCGAGTTATTCATCCTCGCTTACAAATGTTGAAGGAGGGGCTCCCATAGATTATAGTTATCCACCCTTAAAGTCTGATGGAGTTGGCTTGCCTCACATTGAGGAAGATGTTCGGCAAGAGACATCTGGTGTTGTTGGACCGAACACCATGGATTCCCATGCAGATTATGGTCATTTTGAGCTGAAAGGCACTGAGAGTGCGTGGTTGGATGGGGTGAATGCTAGAATACCTGGATCAGAGTATGAGGTACATTGATGGGTCTTTCTATTTCATCTGTTTGATAATCCTTCTGTCTTAACCCTCTTGCTATTGCTTCACTACACCTGATTTTCTTATTACCATCAGGGTGGCAAGTTGGACATTCGAAACATTGGCACACATCTTGTCGATCTTGCTCTAGGAGAGTTTGATATTAGCGCCTTGCAGGTGATTTCTTTCAGTGTGATGTTGTTGTTGTTTAACTATGGCTGTGGGTGACGGAAGCTGAAAATTTTGTTTGTTGCAGACTCAAATTGCTTTGTATAAGATTATTGTTTGGAAATTCTCGTATGTGAAAATATCATTAGTTTAGACAAGTTACTGTTCTAATAGAACAGGATAGTATTGATAAAGCATTGAAGGACTGAGAAATGCACAACTTGTATCTAGAATCTGCTCTGATGTCTTTTGCAGAAACCATAAGAAATGAAAAGGAGAAATGGAGTATTATAGTCAGTGAGAAACGGACTGTTTCAGACCATCTATTCCCCTCCAGGAGGGCAAGATCCATCGCCAATAATTCAACCCACTGGAGGGGTGGTTTTTGCAGTGGCAAATGTGAAGTAAAACAGGTTGTGTTTCCTTGACACTGCTTTGTTCACTGCAGTGGACATAAGTAACATGATGTTGACAACATTAACACTGGTAATGTTTGGCTAGAGAATGCTGGTGTTAGGGAAACACAACATTCTTTAGTCAAACATCACTGTTTTGTTCCACAGTGCTGTGCATGTAAAACTCATTTCAGGAAGTCCAACTCTGTTTAAAATGTGGAAACAAAATATATGAAACAATATGATGTCACATGCTCGTGGGGAATGGCTTGGCATGTCAAGACATTCTTGTTGAATGACCTGGTTTATTTCATTTCTTGCTATTTGTTTCACTTTTTGGCACCTGAAGTGCATATTGGGACATCTAGTAACATGCTATTAGTCATACATTATATGGGCTATTAGCCGTGCATTATATGGGACATTTTCTAACACTCGCTACTTTCATTAGTGTTGGATATGTTCAGTCAATGTTATTGAGGATTTATTTTATCTGTGTAATTTTTCTCTCTCGTCACAGATCATAAAAAATGAGGACCTGGAAGAGCTGAGAGAATTGGGGTCTGGCACATTTGGTACTGTTTATCATGGAAAATGGAGGGGTACAGATGTTGCCATTAAGCGAATAAAAAAGAGCTGCTTCACCGGCCGCACATCAGAACAAGAAAGATTGGTGAGCTTATGTTCATTCTAGTGATTCTTTTAATGAACAATTTAGCTTGAAAATAATTGACATGTATGTGTGATAGCATCTAGTATACCAGGAATATCAATGAGCCTGGAAATTTGTCAAGGTACCCTTTTTAATCTTCTAGAACTATTTCTTAGGTCAAGATCCCTTTTATGAAATTGAAGGATTAGTAAATTTGTTCCGCCCAAAATGATTATGAGCTTATAATTTAAACTCTAATAATCGAGTCTATTCCATCCTTCTAAGATCTTTTCATGCCAGAATAGGCTTGTATATGCTCTCATTATTGAAAAAGGTCATCAGAGCATCTCTGAATGAAGTCTGTTTACATTAAATATGGATCCTTTCATTGTTACATTTCCTTTAGGATTAGGAGATTTAAAATATTGGTGAGCTTACTATTATTCTAGTGATCTTTTTAAATGAACAATGAAACATGTAAATTGTTGACTTGTAAATAAGAAAAATTTAAGGCAGTTGTTAAACCTTGTTTTGCATCCCAGGTCAAATTTGGGCTAGAAGGCTGGAATGTGGTGCATTTCAGATACTTTGAATGCCTTAACTTCTGGATTGTCTAGGTGCTGTTCTAGGGTTTCAGTAACCTTTAGTTATATGAAAGTAACCAAAAAAAAAAAAGTTGGCACTACCTGTTGGAGGATATGTATTTGTTTTTCTTCATTCTGCATCTGTAACCAGTATTTTTATTTTCAGACCACGGAGTTCTGGCGTGAAGCTGAAATTCTTTCAAAGCTTCACCACCCCAATGTTGTTGCATTTTATGGAGTGGTGCAGGATGGACCAGGAGGAACACTTGCCACTGTGACAGAGTTTATGGTGAATGGCTCTCTTAGACATGTTTTACTTAGCAAGGACAGGTAAGATTTCTGTGTTGAAGGTCGTTGTACTTGCACCACACAATTCACTCTGTTAACATTATTCTTGTTTAACTTAATCTTCATAAATGTATAGGCATCTTGATCATCGTAAGCGTCTGATTATTGCGATGGATGCAGCTTTTGGAATGGAATATTTGCATTCAAAGAACATTGTGCATTTTGATTTGAAATGTGACAACTTGCTTGTCAACCTGAAGGATCCTTTACGACCTATTTGCAAGGTAACTGTTGCACTGTTGCTGTGTGGGTGGATTCCATATATATGATAAATGTTACTTACTGCCAGTCCGATTTCTGAATTCTTATTTACTTAGCTGCTAGTTGGTCAAGCAAAACTAATGTTTAAGACATAACATAAATGCTTCTGTTTTTGCAGGTAGGTGATTTTGGTTTGTCAAAGATCAAAAGGAATACCTTGGTTACTGGTGGTGTAAGGGGAACTCTTCCATGGATGGCTCCAGAACTCCTGAATGGTAGCAGCAGTAAGGTTTCTGAAAAGGCAAGTAACGAATTTCTTGTGTGTTGTGAAAAATGCATGTTTACATCTCCATCAGATTTTGTCTGCCTTGATTTTATTTTATTTTCTTCTAACAATGCAAGTTATCTAGATGCTTATATAATTACATGAAAGTTGGTAAATTGACTTTTGGCATATTGTTTCTTTTGGTCAAATAACAACAGTGATTATGCAATTAATGCTCATAACCTCTTTGCTTAATGGCAGGTTGATGTGTTCTCTTTCGCCATTGTCTTATGGGAGATTCTCACTGGTGAAGAGCCTTATGCCAATATGCATTATGGTGCAATCATAGGTATGCATGAAACGTTTCAGTTACATAAGTGATACACTTTTGAAGCACCCTAGCAGACAGCGTGCTGATATATTCCACGGGCGCTGATGCCTGGGCCTTCTATGTTCGTTACCTAATTTTTGCTGTTATTTTAGATTTTCTAAAGAGTTTATGCGTATTGATTTCAGTGTTATAACCTCAAATATTCTATAAATTGGTGTTTGCTAATAAATAAATGTTACAACTTTTTATTGATACTGGAGTTGCTTCGTAGTTAACAAGTCTCTTCTTCGTTGTTTCTGTGTCCCTCCCTTTCCCCTGCAGGAGGCATAGTTAATAACACCTTGAGACCGCCTGTACCGAGCTTTTGTGACCCGGAATGGAGATTGCTAATGGAGCAGTGTTGGGCACCTGATCCCATGGCTCGTCCATCATTCACAGAGATCGCCAGGCGCTTACGCATCATGTCAGCCGCATGTCATACTAAACAGATACCCAAGTAGCGATGCTTGCCAATTCCTTTGCTGTGTTTTTTAGCCCGTTGTCATGAAATACAATCGCAAAGAGTTTTTTTCGTAAGGTTGTGTATATCTACAAGAGAATGGAGAAGGGGCTCCCGATGTATGATTTTTGTGCTGTGCAGAAACTGGAAGAAAGTGAACTTTATGTAAAGCTATTATTTTTGTCTATAGCATATACGAACTTCATATCAGAACTCTATAATAGTGTCAATACGCTCTGCATTCGGTTTGTACGGGAGGTGGAGCATTCTTGTGGATCGCCGTTGATTTGTTTTCCTCTTTTTTCCTGATGCGTGCTTGTATGTCCTGCATTAATAGCCTTGAGTTCCCGGGCCTGATTTTAGGCAAAAAAACAAAAAAAACTAAAAGATAACCCTTGTCCATCTATACATGCTATGCAAGCAGCAAAGATGATTTTTAAATAATTTTTTTTTGTTAAAGATATTTTTTTATTTTTAAAAATTTATTTTTGATATTATTATATAAAATTGATTTAAAAATATATTAATTTGAAATAAATAAAAAATAAAAATATTTTTAATTTTTTTAAAAATATTTTTAAAATACAGAAATAAACGGAAGGTTTCATTTGTCATTTCTCCGAGGATGGGGCAAATGGGGTTTTCCCGGTATATTGAGCGTCGAGTCTCGGACCATGCGTCTCTCCCTTTAATGTTCCAGCCTCGAAAACCATACTGTGTATAACTCCCAGCTCGGTGCATGATTGCCACTTGGCACTAGATGCCTCTGTACCTCATCAGGGGATGGACCTTTAAGATGGTATCAGGGCATGCTTTGTCCGGGCCTCATTCCTTAGTCACACATTTTCACATATCATGGAGTAACCTTCCAAGTTCTGGCCATCTAGAAAATTATTTTTTTATATTTATTTATTATTAAAAAAATTAATTAATAAAAACTATTTTTTAGTTAAAAAATTTAACTTGATTTTTTAAAAAATATTTTTCTCAAAAATTTAAATAAAAAATATTTTTTAAAAATTTTAAAAATATTATAGTATTTATTGATTATATCAATTTTGATCTTGAACTTTTAATTATCATATATATATATATTGTTTTGAATATTTATTATTTAATTTTATCGTCTAAGATTTAATTTTTATATTAATTTTAGTCTTTATTTTTATAATTATTATTTGCTTTTCTCTTATTATTTTTTTATTGAAATTTTTCACTTATCAAATTTGACCTTTATTTTTTTGATTGCTACTTATTTTATTTGAAATAATTTATAAAATAATATTATTATTATTTTAATTTCTTCATCTTTTATTTTTTTTATTTTTTAGATTTGATTTCTATTATTTTGATTATTATTTATTTTATTTGAGATAATTTATGAAACTATATTTTTTTTTAATTTTATTCTCATTCGATGTTTTAACTTGTAAGATTTGTTTTTTATTATTTTAACGAACTTGAAAAAAACAAAACATTAATAAGTTATTTTCCAACTTATTTTTCATTACATAGCCAAATATTGAAAAATATTTTATTTTCTTAAAATTTACTTTTCATAAAAAAATTATTTTTCAGCAGATAACAAAGCTATAACTAGGATAATCATCTTGCAAAATCATACTGTAAATTTTGTCTAATTCTTTGTTGGGAAATGGTGTTTCATTTGTAGAAATGGTGTGATTATAAATTCTAGAAATGGTGATAAATTTTTAATTTTAAAAAAAAATTATACACTTGTATTTTTATCATTTTACACTCAACTTATTTATCATAATTTTTTTATCTTTAATTTTTTTATTTTTTCTTTACATTTTTTTGAAAAAAATATTATTTTTTATTCTTCACACTTTAAATATTTACCACTCCTCTCTTCGTATTATTTTTTTTGTTTTTATCTTTATTTTTTAGTATTTTTTTAATTCTTTTCCTTTATATATATTTTTTAAAATTATTATAAAGAGTCGAGGCGAAAATCATTGCACCATGAAAATCTACTCATAATCCACACTGCATACACTAATCTAGTTTTAATTAAAACTAGATTATTGCAATCCAAATCAATTTTTTTAATATAAAATAATTCATGTTTTGCTAATATTTTTTCTAATAAAAAAATTAAATAATTTAAATGTTAGCTTGATATGATCTAGTTGACTTAATAAGTTTAAAGATAATCCAAACAATTGATAAAAAAATAGTTTTATTTAAAAAAATCAAAGGTAATATATTTATTTAAAAAATAAAAATAAAAATATATTAGATCAATCATAGTTAACTTGTTAAATTCACGACTCTAATCACGGAAGCATGATAACCTAACACAAAGTAAACAAAAAGAATTTTTAAAACTTAATTCTTAATTAACAATGTTATAAGATAAAATTAAAAAAAATCAATTAAAAAAATATAGAGACCATTTTCAACCTTTATTAACTTTTTAAAATTATACTTCAAATCATGAGACTGAAATAATACTATAGAAAACAAATAAAAATAAACTATAAAGTTTAACATTTAATAAATTAAATATTAAAAAATAAAATTAAAACTGACCAAAAAATTTCAAAAAAACCAAAAAAATAACATTGTTAAAATTAATAGTATTTTACTAGGTAGTGTATATTAAAAGCATCACTTTTTTTAGTATTAAGCTAAAATCAAATATTAAAAAATAAAAAGAAATGATAAAAAAACATAGATTAAAAAAACACAATACTATTAAAATAAATAGTATTTTGTGAGGTGTTGCATAATAAAAACACTATATCTTTTAGTATTTTATTAAATAAATAATGTTTTATCATATGTATAATAAAAACATCATATTTTAATTATTTTATTAAGACTAAATGTTTAGAGATAAAATTAAAATTTATAAAAAAAACATAAATTAAACCTAGAAAAAAAACATATTTCACTATTAAAATAAACAGTATTTTGTTATACAATGCACAATAAAAACACCTCCTTTTCTAGTATTTTTTAAAATTAAATAAATTAGATTCATGCACAACTCATAATATTTAGAATTCAAGTGATGAATGAATAGCCGCTAAACAACCGATAGATAATAAACCTGGTTTTTAGAATTTAAATATCACACTGTATTAAATTCTCATGAATTATTTGATGGGAAGATGATATTAATTTATATGAATGATAAATTAAATTAAATTTCACATTTTTCAATTACTGTACTTTTATTTGTTTATAATTTTCATGGGTAATTTAAATTAGAATTCGTTTGGAGTGTTTTTATGGTTTTTTTTTAAGTACGTCGTTTGGAGTGTTTTTATGGTTTTTTTTTTAAGTACGTTTTTACATAAAAATATATTAAAATAATATTTTTTAATTTTAAAAATTATTTTTTATGTTCACCACCCCAACCGCTGCATTTCTCAAACCCCATGCTCTAAACCTGCACCCTCCTCTTCGGGTTCAGGGTTTTACCGAATCGGGAATCCATCGACCACCATGACCCGATTCCAAAATGGATCACGCCTCCTCTCCTACACCTTCTTCCGCTCCAAAAAGACACCGTCAACTTCCCCAAACGCCGCTCTCCTCCAGGGCAACTTCCAAATCCAGCAACACCGCCACTTCTCCAACCTTGCACGCGTCACCACTAAAGAAGAAAAGGAGCCACGGTGGAAGGACTCGATGGACAGACTAAGAAACATCGGTATCTCCGCTCATATCGACTCCGGTAAAACCACTCTTACTGAACGCATACTCTATTACACTGGTCGAATTCACGAGATTCATGAGGTTCGCGGTCGTGATGGAGTTGGGGCTAAGATGGATTCCATGGACTTGGAGAGAGAGAAGGGGATCACTATCCAGTCTGCTGCTACTTACTGCACGTGGAATGGATATCAGGTACTTAAAACTTTGAAACGTTTCGGAACCTTTGCAGGTCAAGTTGAAACGTTTCGGGAAAATGACGAATTTTGTCCTAGTTTGTGTTGCTTGTGTTTGTTTTAGTTCCGAAGCAGTGAGAGGTCTCGATGGTTTTGTCTTCTTTTCTTTTCTTTTCTTTTTTCTATCCGGGGGTTTTTGTCAATTGTGGATTTTGTGATGTTTTGTTTATTTCGGGTTGAAAAGGGTTTTTTTTTTTCCCCGGCTTGATTGGGTAGCTTATGTGTTAAAAGAGGCAGTTTTGGAGAACGGAGTTTGGGGTTTTTATCATTTTTGGTGAGTTTATGTTTATTTGTCTTTTGAGTTAATTGAGTTTTATACATTGACAAGCTCGAGATTATATGAAATGAATGATTGGATTTCTTTTGAGTGCTCTTTTTTTTCCTACTAGGAAAGTGGTTTCGACGTGCAAGTTGGTTGGAGAAAGCATTTGCGAGTTTGGGTTCATTAGTTTGTATTGTTTTGTGAGGTTGTTTTCTCAAGTTTAGTGTTTTAAGAGCATAACTAGGGACACGTTGTGAAGTTCTATTGGGACTTGATTCGTTGGTTTGCTATGAAGTTTTTGTAAGATTGCTAATTGTGTTTCCTGAATTACATTAGTTCTCTTATTCAAAAAATGAAATTTAATTTTTTGCCGTATTAAAGATATAGATTGATTTAGGTTTTCCCTGCCCTTGTAAGATTTTAATAAAAAAAAAATTGTAAATTTGCTTGGGTGGTAAATTGATGGCCTGTTGGGAACTAGGTTTCTATGCAATTTGTTTTCTTCTTATGTTATGTTTTGTTTTAAACAATAACTATTGTTCCTTACTGTTAGAAAAATATAAGACACATGTAATGTAAACTTTGATGGAGTAGGCAATGCATGGTAATGTATCTTAACTAGTAGCTTGTATAAGCAGAGAAGGGAAAAAGTTTTGATTTGAAACATTCTGAAACTTTTCTACATGAATTTGGACTTTTTTGGGTATGAGGTTATGCTGTCTTTATTGCTTTTTTTGTGTTCTTAGATTGGCACTGTACTTTTTTTTTAGTTAACGGTTTCTGAAGCATCGGTCATATCTATTTGGTGAATTAGTGCTTGTTGTAAAACAGTGATGGTTTTTGCTGTGGTGATGTAGGTGAATATAATTGATACGCCAGGACATGTGGATTTTACAATAGAGGTGGAGAGGGCTCTGAGAGTGTTGGATGGTGCAATTCTGGTATTGTGTAGCGTGGGTGGAGTGCAAAGTCAGTCTATTACTGTGGATAGGCAAATGAGGAGATATGAGGTGCCTAGGCTTGCTTTTATTAATAAACTTGATCGAATGGGAGCTGATCCCTGGAAAGTTTTAAACCAGGTATGGTTGTGTTACTCTTCATTGTATCATG